AATTGGGATTAAATTTTCACCCTTGGTCCCCCCCACAGTACTCTTAATCACTTCTTTGCCAGTACTATTACTCAGAAAGGGTTACAAATATTTGAAAGCACCACAACCTTCACAGGCTTTACAAGCACAACAAGAACATCATTTCCTTTATACAGATAAACAGATTCCTTCCCCACAGATGGTATACTTTGATATAAAAGAGTTATGACAGTAGGTGATAAAAACCTGTTTTTAAAGCTGTTACAGTCAGAAAGATCAGCATGGTGGAAAGGTAATACAAGAGTAAAATGGCAAAAGGGACAAACAGGGAAAGAATGCTCACCTGTCTCTGAAGATCAAGGCTCTCAGGGAAAAACTCCAGAAAGAAGAGAACTCCAGGCAAGATATCCCTCCCCTGTGGCAGTCAGCCCTTAAATGGGATCTAAGAGAGCTACAGCCAGTCTCCACCCCTTCCTGTCACACAGCTGAATTGCCTTCACCTGTGCTCCCAGGGCTGAGCCAGTCCTTTGCCCAGGTGATCAATCAGTGCTTCAGGCCATGACTCAACAGTTCCCATACAATAGCATTTTCCTGTGTGTCTGTTCTTTAATGATGACAGTTTTAATAATGATGTTGTTAATTCTAATGGTCTTCTTTTGTGTGACATCTGATTGCATGTGCTTCCTATATAGCACCTTATGTGACTTAAGATATCTTTCAGCATTATTTCTGTTTGGGCTATTTGCTCTTCCAAATACAAACAGTTTAACAGAGACTTAGCTCTGGTTTGAAATGGTTGCTTTTATGGAATTCTTTATACAGATGTTTACCCTTCCTAGTTGTTTGGTTTCTCAGTGGAACGACTCAGATTAAACATTTTCTTACCAAATTCTAACCGTGTAGAATTCTTAACATCTTTATAGTTCTGACTCTGCTGAATTATTAATTAAAATAAGGTGGTTGGTTTGTTTTTTTTTTTTTTTTTTTGTGTGTGTGTGTGTGTGAAATAAAAAAGTAAAACAAACCTCAAAGAGCATTTGTTCTAAACACCAAATGCCCTTGAACTGTTAATACTTTTCTATTTCCTCATTTCAATTCAAGGTGCCCACAGGAGTAAAGTATATAGAAAATAACAAAACAAAACAAAAAACACCCAAAAACCAAAAAACAGAACAAAAAAACCCTGCTTTTTTGGTGTTTCAAAATATATCAAAATAGAAAGCATTAGAAATTTAAGAGAGAATCAGTTTCTGTGAAAATTATGTTAGTGTAATTTACATGCAAAACCCATTCGCTTTTATCTGGAATCAGTAAAAGCAAAATGTTTTCAGAAGCCTGTATAACAAATGGAAAGAAGATTAACAGGGTGAATGGTTGTTCTGGTTAGGAGTTGGGTACCAATTAAAAACTTAATTTTTTCGTGCTTCAGAATAAGGTGTTTTCTAAGCATATTTAACATTCAATGATACTGTAATCATTTGCTGAAAGCAAAAACATATCACTCAAGGAAATTTAACTGCTACTTGAAGTCAAAGCATACCAATATACTAGCTCATAATTACGGTTAGAGAACTCAAGCTCTCTAGCTTGAATTATGATCTTTACCTTCCTCTCAGTTGTATATTGCAGTCATATTTTTTGTCTAAGGGGCCACTGCCAAAGACACCTATATTAACTGCTGTAGCTATCACTCCTCTCCTTGGATGCAGCTTGATCCCCAGCAGTGCCTTATTCTGTTTTCATACATGCGTCCTTTCCTTTTTTACTGACTCTGTCTTCCAGTATATCAGCAATCCAGCAGGTTTAGAATGACCTCTCCATACTAGAGTGCTGCCTCATTCCTTAAAAACAAAATTGAAAAAAAAGCATTCAGATCTATGATGCAGCATAAAACTGCTAATTATGTTGTAATAAGTTTACACTGTGGAAAGTGGGGAGGCAGAATATGTAGATTGTTTGTTTGTTGTTAGTTGATGTTTTTGTTTGCTATTTTTTCAGGATTTTTGAAGTGATTATCTTTTGTTCTTTTTGTTTTTACCGTTATTTTTTTAAGAAGTGGAATTCTGAAGATGTCCCGGAAACTAATTGGAGCACAGCTCTAACCAACAGTTTTCAAATTTTATCCAAATACTGTCTGTTTTTCCTTTTTGATATGGCATAAATTATATACATATGCTTTGAGTATATGTGTTTTAATATATTGCTGTGCGGCAGTAATAATGAAACTTTATCAAAGCTTATACTGATGACAACTCACTTCTGTTGTATTCAGAATTCATCTGTGTAGACAGAGCTATGAAAGCTGTGTAATGGAGTTCTGAAATGTGAGGTATACTAGTGTAAATGGCTCCGAAATCAAATAGTCTACAAAACATTAAATCTTATGAACAGAGTCAGCTGTCTCCATATTTAACATAACAAATGGACCCTTTGTTACTGTTCCTACTTACCTTCCTAAGTGATTTTTAAACCCATTAAGAAATAATTTGACAGAATCCTCTTAGCATAGATAATAATTATTTTGTAATGACTATGACCAGAGTGGAAGGGATTGCTTATATCACCTACTGCTAACTGCTTTATTTTGATGTAAAATTGCATGTGTACTGAAGACTTAAATGAAGCCCTCACCAACTTCAGTTTTTCCCAGAACAGGAGATACTACTAAAGGAACATTATGCTCCACAGTGTTCCACTTCAACTAATGCATTGCCTTATATATATGTGTGTGTGTGTGTATACCTATATATATATACCTATATATATAACTTTTTGCTAGTTTAGTAATATCCTTGGAAAGATGGGAAGAGACAGTACTTTGTCAGATCTAGCCAGAAGCTACTATTCATTTCTCAGTTTGTTTGAACATAGCTAAACACAGCCTCTACTGACTTGAATTCTTGGAACAGCTTCAGTGACCTGATAAAATAAGGATTCATTTGTGTATTCAAAGATGTTCAAACCAGTCTGGTACAAACTACTCCTTTTTATACTTATTCATTAGCTGCTAGCATACAGCTAGCATTAAAGTGAATAGTATGCACATTGCATACCATCTTCATCAGACCTTATGCACCTAATGCACCTATGTAATTCTTGAAGTACATTTGAAAGTAATGTAAAACTTTTGGGGTGTGTTGCCTCTGTGCAGTATTTACTTTTAATTGCATGTCTTGAAAAAACTAATGAGTGAGCTTTCTAGGCTGAGGATTGTTTTATTTGCCTGATTACTTAATATGTACAGATTGCTAGATTAATCACTTGGGCAATATTTTTCATTCTCGTTTGCATAAAGCAATATTTTTCTATTTACATGAAGCTAGTAAAAGGATGAATCTGAAAAAATTGGGCAGATGGTCTTTTATTTTGTAAATACTAGTGTACTGTGTATGGAAAATATTATTTTCATTTTGTTTCAGAGATTTAGCTAGCATATCTTCGCAGTGTTTGTAACTGCACTTATGCTAATAATTTTAAACTGTTCATCTCTTTGCCAAAATTGTCCTGCAGTAACAAATATATCATATAGATGAAGGAAAAATATTTTCTAACTTTGTTTTGACTTCTGATCAGATTTTCTTAAATTATGGATGTTACTTATTTTATCCTCTGTTGCATTTACATAGTTGAAGATCAGATATTACAGTTTTGTTTGCCTTTTTGGTTTTTGTTCTTGACATGACTGTTAAACACAAATTCAAATCTGGCCTAGTTCATGCATGTCCAGGCTGATTATATGCAGATACTTAATTTAATAACAAATCTATTTCATGATGGTCTTAATAGTATTAATTGTCATATGAAGATTTATGCAATATTACTTAGACAATATTTTTCTGTGCTCAACTATTCTTTATTATTTACTATCAACAGAACAATACAGTTGTTTTTCTAGTAAGTTTGTAAAGTCTAAGATATGGAGTAATTTTGGCATTCAGAACATGTGATTTAGATTGTAATAGTTCCTGCTTCCAGAGAAGTTTGTTCTGATGGTCCTTTGTACCAATTAACAAAAAGGAATCTAGAGAGGTTAGGGTATTCAGTATGTGCTGAATACAGTCATTAACATTCACTGCAGTTCATGTTGTGGTTTTCAGAATGGTAAAATATTTCCACCACAATTCCAGAACTGCAGAATTTTGTATTTCAAGAATCCAAACCCCATGTTTGTGAAACAGTAATTTTTTTTTTTTTTTTTAATCTCGTGTAAATCCCAGTTCTCTACTACGTACAGTACTAAAGTAAAATTTAGTAAGTTTTCTTCCCTAAACAGTTCTTTTCTGCTTACCTTTATATGTGTTGATTAGAGCTTGAAATTAACATGACCTTTTTTATCCATTGATTCATGAACATTTATTGGCCAATTTTGTAAGATAGCAAATCTTGAAGAGCTACAGATACAGTAAGGCTTTATCCAGTAAGCTCTTGAAACTTGCAGGAACTGAGACTGCACAATCTTTCTGGGCAGCCCCCTCCAATACACCATAAATAATTTTTTTCCTTATGGCCAGCCTGAACTTCTCTTGTTTGAATTTATCAGTTGCCTTTTATCCATCTTTTTAATAACTTCCCACAGGCATGAGCAGTTGACTGTTTAGTTCCTCTATAGCTCTCTCCCAACCTCTCCTCATTCATGAGTACCCAGCTACACCCACCATGTCAATCCACACCTAACGTCATACTAACTGTATGTAGTATTCTGCATTTGACCTGAAGAGCACCTAGAAGAGGTGTTAATTGCTGTGGTACTCCACTTATTACTGACCTCAAGGTAGAGAATGATAAATTAACTGCTGCCTTCTAAGCCTAACCATCCAACTAGATTCTTAAGAAACCTACCTGTCTGCTTGTCCAGAGTTTATGGGGACTTTTTGCCTTGGCTGGCATATATTCTATATGCTCCAGAAAACACAATACTGAATTTGTTACACAACTTATATAGTACACTGTATAGAATAAGAAAATATGAAATATAGACATATGAATGAGAATGTGTTCACAACATACGTTTTATTTTTCAGCTCTACTTCAGGTTTCCATTTCTCTTAGCAAAGTTGAACTCAGTGTCGGTGAATCCAAATTCTTCACATGTACAGGTATGTATTCATGTTATTTTGAGATTTTTTTTCTTAGATTTTCAACCTTATGCTTAATTTAAAAGTGAACTAATCAAATCACAATATTAACTTAAATTTGTATATTTTTATTTATTCATAATGACTTGTGAAGATTGTGAGAAGTAGATCTTAACTGATTTCACATTTGCAGTCTAGAAACTATTGATTTCAGATTCCAACAAACCATATTACTTAGTTTGAAATTTGTCTGTATTGATATAGATAATTTATATCTATCATGGTTCTTATTTGGTTAAAATACTTTTACTTGTTTAAACTAATGTTTTAATAAGCTAATAGGTTAGGCTATTGTATCCTTAAAAAGTCTTCTCCATAGTGACAGAAGTAAGTCAGAAGAAAGGAGTTTGCTTTTGCTGCTGCCTGAAATGAATTCTTAATGTTGCTGACTTGTGAATGTCCATTGAGAATAACGTATGACCAATTATAAGACAAAGTGATTGCTGACCAGACTTCCTTTCCTTTCAAATTTTATATGTTTCTGTGTTTATATTTTCCTCATGAATTCTGGAGCTATTAATTAATCTGTCTCAACAATCATTTCTTTGTCTGCGGTTTTACTTTTCTTATCTTTCTGCAGTTTCTCAGAACTTCTCACAGTTCAGCAGTCTGTGACATTGAATAGAGACTTAATGTCTCCTTGAACTTATAATGTTGGATATTATATTTTTTTTGTTTATTTATTTTGCAGCCATTGGTGAGCCTGACAACATAGATTGGTATAATCCACAAGGAGAGAAAATTGTTTCTAGTCAAAGAGTGGTTGTTCAGAAAGAAGGTGTTCGATCACGTCTCATCATTTATAATGCAGATATAGAAGATGCTGGTATATATCGATGTCAAGCAACAGATGCTAAAGGACAAACTCAAGAAGCTACCGTTGTTTTGGAAATTTATCGTAAGTATAGTAATATCAAACAGAACATGAAAGAATATGATTTGAGAGCCACTGCTATTGAGAAAGCAAAGCCTATCGAAATATTGTTCCAGGCTTTGGAGTGTATCTTCCAAATATTTGTCTCCTGCAGTTTAGTTCACAGTTAGGAAGAAGACTTTATATTATTGCAGCTTACTTTCTGTTTGTCTCTTAAAATACCATCTCTGTGGGGAGCACAGTATGTTCCTCATGGAAAAGAGGGACTATGAGGGACTACCAGAAAAAAAAGTTCTTTCAGCCTTATTTACAAGTACAAGTACATATTCAACCTATAACAAATATGTACATAAATAAAGAAGTAAGAAGGACAAAGTAGATTATTAATTAAGTGAAGTTTAGAGTGAATTTATTAGTTTTATATCAGTCTTCTCATATTCGTGGCCTTGCAATGGAACTTGATATAGAACATTGAAGCTTAATATGATAAACAGCTAAAATGCATTTCAATTGCTAACAACTAATTGAATATACGTTTAAAAGCAAATACATTATATTAAGGCTAGAGATTCTCTGAGAGTTTGGTGGTTTTTTTTTTCAATTTCATTACATTTGCAGTATAATATATTCTTTAGATTAATCAAAATGACTAAAAGCTAATATTAAATAAATACAATGAAAAGATATAAGCTAAGGGATGTCTGGGTGAAAGGAGGGGACATTTGCTGCCATCCTTTCAGCTGAATTCTTCAGTAATTTCATTGGTGTGTAGTCTTTCATAAAAAATACTTTTCTGGTTGGATTAAATGTTAAGGAATTGCCTTGTGACAGAAAATAATCATAAAGCACTGCTTCTGAAAGGTATAGATAACTCAGATAACAAAAGATATACAATTTTTTTTTTTTAAGCTATTGATAAAACATCCATTAGAATGATGATAGCAGTTACAAGCAATTACATGATGGCTTGAAAGCTGACAGTTCAAAGGATTGCAAGTTCTGTGGAATTCATTTTTATGCTTAAAGCTGCCAGTCACTCTGTTAGCAAGGATCTCAGAATAGCTGAAATCTTTTGAAGTGTGTGCATGTGCTAATTTTAATAATTCTGAGACAGTCCCAAAGACCTGCACAAGAAATGGAAATGTTTATGGAAACTAACATATAGAAGTGTCATTGTTTGTATTTGTAATGTTTTATAAGGAAAAAGCAGGATGTACTGTGTAACTTGTTTGTAAGAGTTTTTCTTCTCAGGCATAAATGTAGTGAAATACTTCAAATATTTTAAACAAATACTTTATAAAAGTGGGCAAGATGTGTACATAGCAAAAGCTCGCTCACTCAACTGTGGAAAACACATGGATTATTGGAGCCTGCACTCATATTAATACAGAAATAATTGCATTCTCTGACTTAAATTTTTCAAAGTATCCTCATAAATGGAATTGGCAACGTTTGATTTTAGGGAACATAAGTCAACTCGTTTCTTCTGCATGCAAGAAATTCTTGCAGAATTCTTTTGCAATTATTTTTTGCATTAGATCTTGGATGAGACTGTGTTTTAATGCCACCTTGAAGTTCTTCCACTGAATTTTCTTAATACCGAACTTTTTTAGCTCACTAATAAAACTGAATATTAAGTATGATTACTTGGAAACAGAATAAAGAAAAAGACTTATCAGAATCCTCAGAATCTTAGTGCTAAAAAAACCTACAAATTCTTGTGACAAAAATAGAAACTTTTTAAATATAGTTTCCCATTGTTTTTTAACTTATGTTTTACTCAGCTGATAATTTATCATAGTCAATGAGGCTGTAGTTCCACCTTTCTAAGACTTTTTCAAGTGGTTTCAGTGGACGTTTAGATGGAATGAGAACATGAGGAATTAATTCAGTAATAAGATCATGAAAAATAAAACACAGAAGAGAGTAGAAAGGACTATTAACCTGAATGTGTAGATCTCTGAAAAACTAGAGCTTCAAAACTGGGCTCTGGAACATTGAAAACAATGGAAAACGTACTTATAAAGCATGCTCAGTTTATATAAATAAAACAAACATTTCCATAATGCCAAATGATTGTAAAATCATTCCTAGAGATAGAGTGAATGCTCTGTCTTCAGGACCATTTTGAATTTTGGAATCTTAGAATCTTTGATCTTAGGAAAATGTATTATGGAAATAATTCTGTACTGTGCACATTGATGAGGTCTTAATAGTTAACTACATCTAATTTGATATCACATTTAACTTCAATGCTGAGTGAACTGGAAAGTACTAATAGTATTCTGTTTTTTTCCTTTTTAGAAAAGCTCACTTTTCGGGATATAGTATCACCACAAGAGTTCAGGCAGGGAGAAGTTGCAGAAGTTGTTTGCCGTGTTACTAGTTCACCTGCTCCCATTGTCAGCTGGCTGTATCGGAATGAAGAAATATCAACTCTTGCTGACAGTTAGTATTTTGGTAACTCTTTAAGTTATACATTTTAACTCACATTGAAATGTTGTTGTTAAAGAAAATGACATTATAACATTATAATTATGGAGTGTATTTTGACTAGCCCATCAGTTAAGTGGAGTTTAACCAGGTGCTTTGTTCTATTAAGAATCCATATGCTATAGTGTCCTTCCTTCTTTTTTTCAAATTGGAAATTTTCTCTAGATATACCATGAAGGTCCAAATGTGCATGAGATTATTTGGAACTATTCTGCAGGAACTCTTTCTGGGCTGCCATGCATGTAGGAGCTGAACATGTTTTTAAAACATACTTAGATAAAATTCTTCACGCTGGCAAAGCTGTGATGCTTTCTCAGAGTGTAGAATTTACTGAGTGAACACTGATGGGCTTCAGTATACTTGCACATTAGCTCTGAGACTTATAGGTAGAATAGGCTTGTTGCACTGTTGTGAGCATTAACTTATGTAAGTGTAAGCTACATTTAAGTTACAAACAGTAGGAGATATAGGAGATCTGTTTAGGCTAGATTCCTAATAGCTAGACTATAAGATTAGTTGAAGATGAATCTCTCTGATTCTGTAAATTGACCTTCTTGGAGAAGTTTGTCTCTGTAGAAATGGAGCACAGTAATACAGTTGATGTTAAGATTTGCAAAACTGAAGTAATCAAAAGTCCATGCTGCAAAATTCCTACCTTCAATATAGAAAAAAATGCTATTACTTTATAATACTTGCTTTACTCATGAGAGTATCTCCTACTAGCTGTTAAGCTGTGTAGAAACAAGGTCAGGAAAGCCAAGGTCCAGCTTGAGCTAAACTTGGCCAAGAAGAATGAGAAAGGTTTCTGCAGGTACCTCAGGCAGGAAAGGAATGTCCAGGAGTGTGTACTCCCCCCAAGTGAGTGACAAAGCCAAAATGGTAACTACAGATAAGGAGAAGGCTAACTCAAAGTACTCAACATTTTTTTTTGCCTCAGTCTTCTCTGAAACAGCTCATCACCCAGCCCTCAAACAATGGGATTAGAAAGAGGGGACTGGGGAAGCAATGACCCTCCCACTGTTAGGGAGGATCAGATTTGTGACCACCTGAGGAAACTGAACATCTGCAAATCTCTGGGTCCTGATGGGATGTATCCCAGAGTCCTGAGGAAATTGGCTGATAGTCACCAAGCCATTCCCAATGATATTTGAAAAGTCATGGCAATCAGGTGAAGTCCCTCGTGACTGGAAAAATGGCAGCATCACACCCATTTTTAAGAAGAGTAAAAAGGATGACTCTGGGAACTGCCAACTTGTCAGTCTCACCTCTCTGCCGGGAAGGATTATGGAGTGGATCCTTCTAGAAGCTGTACTAAGGCACATGGAAGACAGGGAGGTGAAATGAGAGAACCAGCATGGTTTCACCAAAGGCAAATCCTGCTTGAGCAACCTGGTGGCTTTCTATGATGGTGTCACTACAGGGACAAGGGAAGAGCCACTGATATCATCTATTTGGACTTCAGTCAGGCACGGTACCTCTCAACATACTTTTCTCCAAATTGGAAAGATATGGATTTGATGAGTGGACTGTTAGATGGATGAAGAACTGACTGCAGGATCGAACCCAGAGAGTGGTGGTTGATTGGCTCAATGTCTGGATGGAGATGAGTGACAAGTGGTGTCTTCCAGGGGTTGGTGCTGGGACTAATACTCTTTAATATCTTCTCCAGTAACCTGGGCAGTAGGGCTGAGTGCACCCTCAGTATGTTTACGATGATGACTGTGGGGTGCAGTTGACATGCCCAAGGGACAGGGTGCCATTCAGAGAGTCCTAGACAGGCTTGAGCAATGGGCCCAGGAGAAGGAACCTCATGAGGTTCAACAATGCCAAGTGCAAGATACTGCACCTGAATCAAAACAACTCATACTACCAATACAAGTTGAGAGATGAAAAGTTTGAATACAAACCTTTCAAAAGTCGAGAAAGACTTGGGGGTACTGGTGGATGGAAAGCAAGACATAAGCCCATAATGTGCTCTCACAGCCCAGAAAGCCAGCTGTATCCTGGGCTGCATCAAAAGAAGTGTGGCCAGCAGGTTGAGGGAGGTCATTCTGCCCTTCTACTCCGCACTGGTGAGGCCTCACCTGTGGTACACCTGTAGTGTGTCCAAGATGTGAAGTCCTCAGTGCAGAAAAGACATGGACCTGTTGGAGTGTATCCAGAGGAGGGCCACAAAAATGATCCAATGATGGGATGGAACACCTGTCCTATGAGAACAGGCTGAAAGAGCTGGAGCTATTCAGCCTGGAGAAGAGAAGGCTGCAAGGTGATGTAATAGTGGCCTTTCAATATCTGAAGGGGAGCTACAGGAAAGAAGAGGACAGACTTCTTCTTTAACAGGGTCTTTGAGGAAGATCCAGGGCAAATGGTTTCAAACTAAAAGAGGGGAGATTTAGATTGGATATAAGGAAGAAATCTTTTACAGTGAGATTGGTGAGGTACTGGCACAGGTTGCTCAGAGATGTGGTTGATGCTTTGTCCTTGGAGACTTTCAAGGTCAGGCTCTGAACAACCTGACTGAGCTGTGGATGTCCCTATTCATTGCAGGGGAGTTGGACTAGGTGACCTTTAAAGGTTCCTTCCAACTCTGAGGATTCTATGATTCTGCTGTATCCATTTTATTATTCTTCATCAAGAGTTGAAAAAGTATGCAGTCAACATCTCCCATTCCTTTTTTCCGCTGATAGATGAGCTCTCAGTGTTTCAACATTTTAAAGAAATGTTCTCTGTTTCTCTCATCTGTCTCACACATTAACAATTTACCTTAACAAAAAGTTCACCAAAGTTAAAAGAGGAGACCTCAACTTTTCAAAATGTCTTGAAGCACAGTTCTCTGAGAATTGCAAAGCAACAGGAAAGAGAAAATGATTTCATTTGTTTGTGGTAGTGTGTGTAGTGGCATTAATTTTCAAGCTTGACTTTAAGAATCTACACATAATTAATGTAAACACATTGACACCATCTATCCTCTGTCAGATGGAGCAAAATTAAATTTTCTCTTTATATTTCTGTCTTCATTTTCTGAAGAGTCCCCGGTAATGAAACTAAATTTACATAGCATTAAAAAAAACTTTTTTTTCCTGTGAAGATGTATATATGTATGTTCTGTGAACAAACTCTTAGCTGTTTGTTTTGTGTTGTGAGGAAATGCAGTTAACACCACTTAATCTTTTACATGACTTTCTAGATCGATTTGCAATATTAGCAAACAATAATCTTCAAATTCTTAACATCAATAAAAGTGATGAAGGAGTATACCGTTGTGAAGGAAGAGTGGAAGCCAGAGGAGAGATTGACTTCCGGGATATAATTGTTATTGTGAATGGTAAGGAGTAAAAGTTAATGAGTTGACTTCTTAATTTAGCTGATTATCATAGCCTTAATTATAAAACATATCAGTTTGTAACAGTCCTAATTAAATTGATTAATATGGCTTTCATGTTTGTTCAGTATTTTCCCATAAAGGTAATTGCTTGCTATTAAAAAAAAAATCTATCTGTTACAGTATATAAGTAGAATTCATTGCATTTCATAGTATCAGAGTATATTATTATGCAAAAGATCAATTGTTATTAGTCATTTGAAGAATACTGACAATCACTATGAAACTTGAGTTTCAGATTACAATGTGTAGTTATTTATTTCAGTGTATTTTTCAGTGCTAGTGTTACTTACTGTTATAAACCTTTTGATTTTTCATAGTAATTCATCTTTACTCCATTGTACGTGTTTTATTAATTACTTCTGTTTAAAACCATCCCAAAAATCATGAATACATTTTATTAGGAAGTATTGCTTATAGATCCTTTACATTTTATTTTTAATGTAGTTTAAAAGGAGTTATCTGATAATTGGCATTTTAACATTTTATTACTTTCTTAAAAAGCTCTAGGAAGGAATATGAGAAGATGTGGACAAAATAGAGCATTTAGTTCACCCTCTCTCTTAAATTCAGGGTTGGCTTGTTGAAAAATAAATGTCTCTTCATATATTGTCTAGAAAAGACACAGTTCATGATGGCATTTTTTATCCATGCCATTCTGTTTAATGTCAGTATTTCAATGAAGCTGCTTCCATTGTGCCATTAGATCCTGAGTTATAAATGCTTTATCCTTGACGGGTCCTCTGCACATCTTGGTTTACATAAGTCATTATATAAGTTGAATTCTCAGTTAATTGCATTCTGGCACACATTATTTAATCCATGTAGTCAAACAGCAGTATTTGAAAGAGAACTCCAGGATTTTTTAGACAATGTGCAGACAGTGACAAGCAAATGGGTGGTTAACTTGTGTGTTGTGATAAAATATAACAGTATATGCCCCATGCAGTGAAGACCCTTAATCTAATTACTGTTTGTTTTTAAGCAGATTACCCCTTGACTCCTGAGTATATTCCAACAGTTCCAACACTTGATAATATTTAAAATGCCGAATGACATTTTATTCTCCTACTATTTGTATATAAGTATACAAACCTACATTTTGAACACCTGTCACTTCTCTGTGATACATGCTGTTGTGCGAGAGTGAAACCTGAAACATCAGATTTCAAACCGTGACCTCACATCACATCTTCTGTTGGTAGATTAGATCTACAGATTTCTTTTTTTTATATACATATTTGTTATTACTCTGGACAAGAATGACAACACTCACTTCACTCTAGAGTTTGGAGTTCTGTAGTGTTGTGAGGAAAAGAGGTTTCCAACAGAGATTCTAACATTGTTGCTCATGTAAAGTGGTATCAATTAAGAGCTATTTTCCACTTAACTTGTATGGGAATAAATAGCTTTTCAGAGATAAAAGTGAGTGTATTTAACCCAACCACAAATGAGTTTTATATTAATACTGAAAATCAGAAAGAAACAAAAAATGTGAATGCTCTTTGTTGAAAAATGAAAAACGCTATCAGTGAGTTGGACTTAAATGTATCTGGACTTTACCATTTTGCTTTAAGTTAGAAATGTGAGAGACTTGCTTATTATATCCAAATCCATTTGGCTTTTCCTCTTTCAGGTTCATTCTTTAGTTGTGCATAAAAGTGCAGAATTGAGATAAACAGACTTCACTTCCCTGAAAGAGCTGTAAGAAAATGGATATTTGGTTTAATTGTCATCACAGTGTCTCTGGGAAGATTGAAACACCAAAGTAATTTGCTGAAATGGGTCATGGTCCTGTAATTCTTAGTTGTGAGTAGAGAAGGAGCTGCTGCTTTTGGGGAAGGATTGATTAGTCGTCTCATGTCACTACCCATTTTTTCAGGTCTAAATGTTAGAATGCACTGCAAAATGTCTAAAATCTACAAAATGATTTCTGTGCGACACTTTGAAATGCAAGATGGACAAGTTATTACAGCACAACAGAATGGTTTTTATAAGCTGAGTACTGCAATTTCAAGAAGGAAAGAATTGATCTGTGAAATATGTAAATTTCAGCACACGATGACAAAGAGTCAGAGACAATAGTACATAAGAACATTTACTACTCATCAGTGATTATGGGTCACTGTTGTAATAATTTAATGTGTTCAAAGTTCAGAAATTGGAAAGGTTTCTGAGAGACAAACTTGAAGCTAAAATATTTGTATCATTTAAAACAACAGCAACAGTTTGTGAGAAAAAATATGGAGTTGCAATGGTAAGCCATAAGCAAATTCATTGGGGTCACCTTCTGTTCTCTACTGAAAATTAAAGCTGAAAAGATAAATCTGAGCCATTCTAATGACAAGGTATTGTTACTAGCAGAAAGCTGTATTTTGTGTATTTTTTCTTCCTCTCATTTATTTTCCATGTATCTTACTTCCGCTTTGGGATTATTCTTCCTTGTTTATTTACGTGAGAGTTTAATGGAAAAAGGACAAGTGTCTTAAAATTTCATATGAGCAGAGAGATTAAAAGCATCCTGTGAGTTGTTCTGTCTTTAATATTATTGCTATTTTTTTCTGTTGAGCAGAGGTTCTCTGTGAACGGTTTTAATTTCATTATTGAATTGATCTCATAAAGGACAGACAAAATATGTGATCCACAGAACACAATTACGAAAACAGGTTGTAATTCCTAAATAGATTACTGAAATAGATAAAAACAATTCCTAAATCAGATTGTGTCCATTGTGTCTGTCACAGTTTATGTTCTTTAAGCTGGTGATAGTCATACCCAGGAAATTCAACAAAAAGAATAAAGTATGTTTAGTAGATAATGCTATGTATTGACACCTGTTTTTTAAGCAATGTCTGTTATCAGTGCATAGTTCTATGTCCGCTATGTAGTTGAGTGAAAGAGAAAGAGACTATATTTTCACTGAAGATTACCAGCAATAACTCTTGTGTATGATAGAGTACATACAGAACTGCTAGATATGATTTTGTTAGCTTTAAAATGCTCTGTAAGAAAATTGGCAGCTACCAAACAAGGCTTATTTGGAATTTATCCTAGTGCAACAAAGTTATAAATGCCTGACAATATTAGAAGTCTATCACTGTCTGTTTAAGAAAAATACAAAAATACTGATAACTGATTCATATTGTGTAAGTATAAATTCCAAATTTAGCAAAGGATTCCGTGCTTTAAATTTCTTCAGAAACATAGAGCATCTTGTATGTTCCATTAATGGGAAATAATGTTTTATTTTCCAGTTCCCCCTGCAATTACCGTGCTACAGAAATCTTTTAATGCCACTGCAGATCGAGGAGAAGCTGTAACTTTGTTTTGCAGAGCCACTGGATCGCCTCCACCAGAAATAAGTTGGTTCAGGTAAGTTCAGTTTAGATCTGCACATCATAGCACATTGTTTTTTTTTTTTCTGTCATGATTTAATGTAACACTCCATGAAGTAAGCTGTGCAATCTTAATTATTTACTGAATTTTAAAACCATTTGCTGTTTAGTTATCCTCTTAACTTCTAAAACTAGATTCAGCATTAACAAGTGAATTATTATGATAATATATATATAAAATATGAATCATTATAATAAGTCAAAATACACAGAAATGCAATTGTACTCAGGTTACTGTGAAAGTGAGATAAATTAAAAATGTAAAATACCATATTCATATGATTTCTTCATATTTGAACAAAATCAAGGTTGAAGCAATTAGTCCATTTCTCCAAGAAAATACAAACAAAAAACTTAGAACTTTTTCACAGGAGTACTTCAGTTAAAAACTAAATATACATATATACATACAAACTATATATATATATATATATATATATATATACACAAACTTATGCAGTTATGCAATAAATGACCAATACAGATAAGCAGTCCTAATAACAAAAATATCACTTTATCTTTCTGTAAAAATAAATTTTTAAATCTGATTCTAATCCTAATTCTCCATTTCAATTACATTCTCATTCAGAAGGAGATCAGAAGGCTTCAGACAACCCTACCATTGAGAATGCTTCATTGAATAAGTTTAAAGTGTTGTTTATATTTTTTTGAACACGTAATATATATTGAAATATGGAACTGCTTTTTAAGTTCGTGTGTGGTTTCTTATGATGTCATTGGAATGAACACCAGAAATATTTAGGAACATTTAGTATGTAACTGTTGTAAAAATGCAAATAATTGCATCCATACATTTTATTTCCGTTGAAGTAAAAGCTCTCTACATTTTCTAAATGACTTAGGGATTTTCATCAGTTATTAATCTCCTTTGGAGTCTTTGGATAATTTTACTGATTTTTAAATGTTAGCTTCCTTTGACTGGCACCTTTATCCTAACATGTCATAAGGCAAACATGGAGTTAAATTTTTCTCTTTTACGATTTCAATGGCAGATACAAATAAATAGAACAGAAAGTTAATACCTTACTGTGGCCTTTTTGTAAGACAAACCAGTGTCGATGTTTTTTATTGTTATGAAAGAAATTCTCTGTTTACAGATGTGTTTTTTCCAATACTTTGTAAGTATTACAGTATTTGTACAGGCTAAGTGTCTTGGAGAGACACTTGTCTGTGTTGATCTACTACCCTTTTAATTTTCCTTTAGCTTGCCTGTCACTGGGACAACCAACTGTTTTACACCATTCATTATCTTTCATACAAATTTTACAAAAGCTTTTCAGATAGTGTAGTCTGTACTAGATTTTAAACGAGAGTATATTTAAATATACATACATGTTTTTCAGAAACCGAGTGAGCAGTATTAGCTTGTGTATCCCTTCCCTATATATTCTGGGTGGGTAGAAAACATTCTTTGTGGGTTTTTTTGTTTTTTTTTGTTTTTTTTCTTTTTTTAGTAGTAAGAGGTTGTAAATTGATAAGTAGAAAAGGTCCCCAAAATTTGTGAAAGGAAATGTGACAAGTATGGAAACAGAGGAAAAAAAGATGGAAAGAGGTCAGTGATTATATTCGGGAGGGAACAAACTTGATCAATATTTCATAGAATCATAGAATCGTAGAATTATTTGGTTCGGAAGAGACCTTAGAGGGCATCTAGATCTAACCCCTGCTATATACAGGGACACTCCCCTCTAGACCAGGTTGCTCAAAGCCACATCCAGCCTGGCCTTAATGCTTCCAGGAAGGGGGCATTCACTGTCTCACTGGGTAATTTGTTCCAGTGTCTCACCACCTTCACAGCAAAGAATTTCTTCCTAATATCTAGTCTAAATTTACCCTCTTCCAGTTTAAAACCATTTCCCCTTGTCCTGTCACTACCTGCCCTTATAAAAAGTCCCTCCCCAGCTTTTCTGTAGGCCTCCTTCAGGTACTGGAAGGCCATTATAATCTACTGCTAGAGCCATCTGTTCTCTAGGCTGAACAGCCTCAGCTCTCAGCCTTCTGATCATCTCTGTGGCCCCCCTCTGGACCTGCTCCAACAACAACAAGGTGTCAGCCTTTCTTGTGTTGGGGGCCCCAAAACTTTATGCAGTACTCCAGGTAGGGTGGCATGAGAGCAGAGCAGAGGGCAGAATCACCTCCCTCAACCTGCTGGTCATGCTTCTCTTGATGCAACCCAGCATACAATTGGCCTTCTGGACTGCAAGTGCAATTGCCAGCTCATGTTGAGTTTTTATCAACTGACACCCCAAATCCTCCTCCTCAGGGCCAATCAACTCATCTTCATTTTCCATGTGCCTTAGTAGGGCCTTCAGGAGGACCTGCTCCGTGATTTTGCCCAGCAAAGAGTTGAGACTGACTGGACTGTAGTTCTCTGGATCGTCTTTTTTCCCTTTCTTGAAAAAAGGAGTTTCTCCTTTTCCAATCAGTGGGGCCTTCACCAGACTTCCATGACCTTTCAAATATGATGGATAGCAGCTTTGCAACTTCACCTCCCAGTTCCTTCAGAACGTGTGGATGGATCTCACTGTGTCCCATGGATTTGTGCACCTTCAGTTCAGTTCTTGAACTTGATTTCCACTTAGAGCTGGCAGATCTTCCTTCTCCAAATTCTTACCTTTGCTTTCTGTGGCTTGGGTGGTGTGGTTAGAATCCTTGCTGGTGAAGACTGAGGCAAAGAAGTCATTGAGCACCTCAGTTTCCTGGGCTGTGCGTCTATGGGTCCCATTAGTCACAGAACTGGGCCAAACTGGCCCATAAACCATTGACACCCTCCCCCCACCCTACCCTTCTTTGGATTGATGGGCCTGTGGGCCTGCTGTCCCCTTGTCATGGACACAGATAGATCTAGAGATAACTGTGACAGTTTGTCAGTGTGTGTTCAGACATTTTATTTAGCTTGTCTCAGGTTATCCATTTGTAAAATGAGCGGATATAGTGGAGTGATTTAATGGAAGTCTGTTGTATGTATTCATAGCTATGCTAAGGAAGAAAGTACAGAGAGGTACAAACTATTATAGAACAAGATGAAAAAACTTCTGGACGTTCCTTTTGTTATTTAGGCCTAACCACAAAATGCACTAAGTACGAGGAATAGCAAATACATATACTTAATCCCTCTTAGAACACTTAACAGTATAATGAGTATTCTGGAGACCTGATTGACAGAAAGGATGTGGACAAATTCTACTCCAGTTGTTCGGAGGATTTTCATTGTACTATATAGAAAGTAGTACCTCTGTGTCTTTTGACATGGTTCAGTAATATTAAGGAACAGTGGAATGTTCTTCGTATCTTTTTCATTTTTTAAGATATGCTCTGACTCCTAAAAGTCTCTCATCGGCTCTAGTGAAGTTTCTTTTACTAGGCTTGCATAATGTGGGTCTCTCATTGTATAGCCCTACCTTCCTTACAATCCTTTGGTATTTTAATCAGTTGAAATCTGATTTTCTTTTCTCTTGATTCTTTTTCACTTTCCAATGAACTGATTTAACGGAATGTTAAATTCTGCGCGGACATGAAAAAAGTCTTGAGAATCAAATGCTAGTGATATTGAAGTGGCCTATATTCTTCTCCATTGAATTAATCAAGTTGCTGATCAAAACTGTAGTTTCAAGCTTAAACATCTCTTTAGACCATATCTAGTATGACAGAGCTTTAACTAGTTATGTTGACTCTTTTTATCTCTAGCTGCTGACTATTTTTAAGATTTTCTCATTCTAGAATGGAGGCATCTGAGCTGTTTTGTCAACATTACTCAAAAATGCCATAGATCATTTTCTAGTTAGTCAGTCTGAGATAGCTAACAGGGAAGAAAGGTTGTCAACATTTAGTTTTAGTTCACTGTATTTAATATGCAAATGTACTTTGTTAATATTTAATGGACTAAGGGAATGTAATTCTTTCTCTGCTTAACTGATATTACATTAAACTATGGCTTTCAGAGAAACAATACGCTAATAGAAATAAATTAGCGGGGGCTGAAATATAATTTAAGCGTACAGGTCCTGATCTGGTAATGTCTACTCATGGGAATAGTCCTACGGAAAACACAGTTATTGTTTACATTTGTGGAGATCATTTACAGTAATAAAGCTTAGTGGGATCTGTTCCCTATACCTTTAATGACAGGGCATAGAACTATCTAACATAAGAAATAACAAAAGAAACAGTCTTCTTTTAACTGTTGTTGTGTTGTGTTCTCTTGTTCATCCGGATCAGTGTTAATCTGAACCTTTTCCCTAGAAGGTCTATGGTAATCTTCATGATCTAATTTCTTCTCATCTGTGGTCATAGATATAGGTAGTGGATGAATGTAGGGCACTTGGACACTACTTTTGACACTGAGTATTGTCTCTTGTCTCCTACAGAGATTATTGTAATTTTAATGAAAATACTTAGGTGGAAAAATAACAAAAATGTTGGTGAAATGCAAGATGAAGAGATGCCAGGGTATGCCCTTATTCCCAAGGAGGGGAAAAAACAAATAAACAGTAAATGGTGTTTTCACTTTTAGGGAAAGTATTGTTTTAGAAAATATGAAATATAGCAATATATCACCATTCTGTGAGCAGAAAGAATGTGAATATGGTTTCTGCTCAAATCTTGAAACGGCCATGAAAACAGGGATTTGCATTGGTTTCCTTTCACAAACAGCTTGGCCATCAAGTTTATTAATGCTTATGAAAATCAGGCAGTCTTCATGTAGGTGCATATGAAAACATACTGTTGGTGATTCAACATAAATAAGGACAAAAGAATCCTAAATCAAACAAGTCAGAATGAAAAGAAATAAAAATTAAGTTAGAATTGCTCCCATTTAGAAGAAACCATTACAATAAGCATGTGTATGCCACGGTACTGAGATGGAGTGGTCGAGCCTTGATCAGCCCTCAGAATTGTTCACAGGTTTTATTATTTTTATACCATCTGGTCAGAGGTAATAATGTCTGGAAATATGTCTGCTTACTAAATTGTGGCTAGCTAACAACATCTGAGAGGAAATAATTCAGAAGAGTTCTTTATGTGCCAGGAGGCTCTATGTATAAGTAATATAAAATTATTTTTATAAATTGATACCTTATTACTAATATGAACTGCAGTGGTAAACTTAAAAATGTGCTTTTGCATGTTCTTTTATGCAACTATGTATTTGTCTGATTCCTTGAGTGCAAGTCATGTATTAGAGTTCTGTTCACAAGTATTTTTTCTACCATTAAGTCATGAAAATTTAAGAATAAAACTATTATAGTATTTTTAATACATGTATTTTAGAACCTGACAATAAAATTGTGAACCTGGGGTCTTGAACATGAAAATGGAGTCCAGAATGCATTGCTTATGTCTAGAATGTGCACATTCTTATGGAAAAAAAAAAAACACAACACTAATGCAGCAGAACAGTTGTCATCATGCTCAAATTAACTCCCTTCTGCACACACTGCCGGTTTATGTCACGTGAGTTAATGCATTTTTGTTAACAGCATAATAGCACTTTCTTACAAGATTATTTAAAATTGATTGGTGCTTTCATAGTGCACTTTCACTTTGGAGCTTGCTGATTTTTTTATTTTTATTTTTTATTTTTTTTTAGGAATGGAAAAATTATTGAAGAAAATGAAAAATACGTATTGAGAGGGAACAATGCAGAGTTAACAATAAGAGACATAAAAAATATTGATGCAGGTCCTTATATCTGCAGTGCTAAAAATAAAGCAGGAAATGATAAAAGACAGACATTCCTTCAAGTTTTTGGTAAGTACTGTATATAATGTACCATCCTTCCTTTCTCAAGAGGGAATTGAAGTTATAATTCCCAATTTTCAATGGAGCAGTATTCCTGCAGTGTGTCTACTGATGCAGGAAACCACTCTATAATTTTATAACTTTTTCCTTGCTATTGACCACTTTAACCTTTAATCCTGAATCCAATTTTGAAAAGGCTATCTTTACTATTGTACTATTCAGATACAATACAATGACATGTTAAATTGTTAATTCACTCTGGTTTGCCTTTAGAAGTTGGCTGCTTGCAAGAAAACCAAAGGGAGAATAAAAGAAAACTACTGAAAGGGGCAAAATGGTTATTAGTCCTTTCAATCACATTTTGTTGTTGTTTTTAAAGGAGAATACCATACAGAGGTGTTCCTGATTTTGTATCTTTTTTTGTCTTTTTAGTTTTGTGGGTTTTTTTAAGTACGTGATTGCATACTCACTAAAAATTCTCTGATATTAAGAAAAAAGAATTTCAAAAGCAAAAAGTAATAAAAACATGAAAACTTCCTCTCTTTCTTTGCCTTACTACCCAATCTGTTTTCATGGTTGTGTCTTCTACACAGAACACTTGACTGTTTTTTGGACATTTGTGTAGCTTTAGCCTCATAAGAGTAGACATTTGTAAGAATATAGATCTCCCTCAGAATCATTCTGCCATTCTATGGATCAGGGCCATAACTTATTTATGAAAATGGTGCAAATTAAGCAATCTGAATTTTTTTTTTTTAACTTATTTTTTCTTACATATAGTATCAATGTATTGTTAGTGTACCTCTACGCTATATAATTAACTATTGCTTTTAGTAGAGAGGATGATCATTTAAAGCATGTATTGAAGACAATGGGAAATGAAATTTTGCATCCCTACTAAAACTAGTAGTTACCTATACAAAACAGTTCCAACAAAAGAGGCTAATCTGATATCTTTCACTTGAAGCTGATGGATTGGTTAATACTGTTTTCTGAATTTGAAACTTGAGGCTGAAGCCATCTGCAAACTGAACAGATTAAGTGTCTTCATGTGTCTTTCCCTATCTTTCCCTGGGAAGCTCCTTATCGTTTCAGGTTCTAGTCCTCTATACACATACATAGATGTGTTGCCTAAACATTGGAGTACTGCTGTTCTGTGGTGATTGAGTGTTCTTCTGAATTACTTTTCAAAGGAGTGAAAATTAAGCAGTTTTAAATTTCATTCTTGCTGAAAGTTATGGAGCATATTGAAGACTTCTGGAGAAAAGAGAAACTTTTTATTAAATCGTATTTTCAAAACCAAAAAAAATATTGAAGGAATAGAAATGACTTGCTAGTTTCAGTGTGAGTTTGAGGACATTTGTAACAGGAATATTTTTGCATGTAATTTTAAGTATGGCTGGAATTTACTCAGTTTTGCTTATGGCAAGGTAATTTATTAATGTGGGGAACACTGGACTAAGAGTGAATATTTCCTATATACAATATATAGAAAATATACATTCTTATATACAGTATGTAGGAAATTCTTTCAGCTGCCAGTGGTCTGGAAAATCCCTGGAAAAATAAATTCAGATGATTAAATAGGTACCAGGAGTTTATTTTAGAATGTGTATTTCCTTTTTGCTTCCACATCATCCTACACTCCTAAAATCCTTAGGCAATTTCTTCCTTGCATGAAAAAAAGTAATTCTTCTGCTTAATCTGGGGCCTGTTCATTTCTTTGGCTCATTTTAAGTAAAAAAAATAATAATAATTAAAAAAAAAAAAAAAAAAGGAAGTATAATTCTGCAAGTTCTTTACATCAAATGCAGTTTTACATCACTTGTTCATTTCTTTAATAAGATGAAAAATTCCAGTTTAGAAATTTCTCCTACTGTGGAAACCATGATAAACTTCTGATCCGTGTATTTCTGTGCCTGTCTAGTCGTAATCCATTCTTTGTGGAATGGCAATGCAAGAATAGTGTGCAGAAGTCATGCTGGGGAGAACCTGACTGCTCAGCTGTACAGTAGAGCTTCTGTTTGAATATCTATGCCTACTTTTGCATTGTTTTTACCTCTCTGGCTTCCCGAGTTTTGAACTGTTGTTTCCACAAAACTCTCAGACTTGTCTCCAAAGTCTCTTTCCTGAGTCTTGATAGGTAATTTAGAGTATATCATTGAGTATGTATATTTAGAGCTACTTTTCCTGTGTGCTCTTCTATTGGATATATTTCAATTAGGTTGTAATAATCTGTGTACTGTCAGTTTGACTTGGCATTGTATCAGAAAATAAGCTTCTTACCTCATTTGTAGTCTTTAAAGCTCACTGGCATTTTAGTCTAATATTTCCTTTACAAAGATTACCTCTCACTCTGAAAACGTGGAGCAGAGTAGCTGTATTTTCTCCTACTAATAACTTTCCTTCTTTTGTCTCTTTCACCCAGATTAAACTTGCAGACGTGTGTACAGCCAACCATTATTATACTTTTCTTCCCCTTAAATGCATTCAAAAAACTGCTAGCTGAAAATGGCAAGGCAGATGGCTAATTATTATAGCTCAGTAGCTCACAAACAGACAGTTTATATTAAAATAACCTATTACATTACATGTTTTTTGGTTTTTTTTTTTCCACTATGTTTGCTTGTTTATTTCACCTACCTGCTATCTCTAATCTTAATTTACAATTCAAACTTCTTGAGACTATTGTGTCCGTGGGTACATCAGGGCTCTAGCAGGATAGAAGATTCTAATGCTAATTATGTAACTGTACAGCAGTAATAGTAACAGTAATGTTATAGTATTCATCATTTTAAATTTCTTGTGCTTTGCGTTTTGGAACGGGTGTGGCCAACATAGTGCCATCTAATATCTGCAGATGTTTATTTTCCATACGTGACTTTGGTGTTTGTTCTTTTTTTTTTTTTCTTTTTAAATTACTTCCATTATCAGTGTTTTAAAACCTATTTTATTTTCTTATGCAGAGTTTTTCTGTAACCATAACACATAGATAAAGTCCTCATACTTCTACCCTGCTTCCCCCAGTTTTTAACTGTAATTACTGCATTTTATTTGTTCTACATAATAAATCTTAGAGGAGAAGGGAAGTCCCTGTCACTGAGGATTTCTTAATGATCATGTTTATAATTATAGTGTCGTCTGACCACATGCTATTTCTATTTCCTAGATTTTTTTAAGTATAATCTGAAGCTTATATAGCAGGAAGATTTATGCAGCTGTGTGCAACATAAATTTAATTTATTATTGTGGAAAGAGTATACTATCATTCCTGTATGATTTGTCATCAGACAGATGAGAAGATAGAAAATGTAAATGACCTCTTCTGACTTATCCCCTCTTATACGTATTCCAAATAATTAAACTAAAAATATTTTGCTTTCTTATGCTCTCGAAAATCATGGATCTTTTAACCAAGCAGGCTAGAACCTATACTGAAAATTTGGTGTTAAGGTTACCTACATTTTTCACTATTTTCAAGGTTTATAACCACATGTTTTACTTTTCCAGTGCCTTGAGCACACCTGGATATTTTTCTTTCATCTTAACAAGCATTTAATGTATGTTTTGTTTTGTTTTCTGTGGTAGCATTCAATAGTAGGTGCACTTTGTTTAAATCTACTGATATATCTACACAGGGAATACTATGTACTTGTTTATAAAACTGTGGTTGCTCATCCCCACGCCAACTGCAGTTTCAGGAAGTGTGCAAGTCATTAATTAAATATAGAGTATTAAACATGCATATGCTTACTGTATTCCTTCTTCCCTCCCTTTTACCTTCTTACCTGTGTGGAACACCTCCAATTCTTAAAATAAAAATGATGCTGTCTATAAAAGAGATTATGCCGTATCTGTCAGAAGACGAGCCTTAAATCCCTTTAAGTGGAAAGTAGTAATACACAATAGTGCATTTATCATGCACTAAATCAAGCCCTAATGTATGAGCAAGGTTGTTGTTTTTTTTTTTCTTTTTTTTTCTTTAAGATAGGACTCAAATTTCAAGAATCAATTGTTCATATATTTCCTTATTGGGCTCTAGCTTATGTACAAAATTCAGATTGTACCAGCAATTTTCAGGAGGACAGAGGTGCAGTCTTGCTACCTGATTCAGCTGTGGATGTGCCGGAAAACAGCATATCAGGCAATGATTTCACCATATAATAAGCCTGTTGATAATAAATCCACGTTAGCACTGATAGCATTTATTTTCAAGGGATATAATCAGTCTCAAGCTTTGTATTTGTTCTGCTTCTCAAGTCTGATGAATCTCCTGTTAATGATATGGGTAGAACTCTGTGAATTCATTAAAATATAGATATTTTCAAGAAATAAGTTGTAAACAGCAAATAACAAATCTAGATTTTCAGATTGCTATCCATGTTCTTAAGCTTTGTAGGGAAGGCTGTAAAGTACACAGCAGTGAGCATAAACTGTCAGTTTGTAAGGTTCTCCCCTTGTTTGAAATCAATTCAGAAGAGACCAAGGACGAAATTTTACACTAATTTATTGAGAAAGTGGTAGAGATATGAAGACCAGACTTCTCTGCTCAGAGAACAAACTTTCCAACAAGCAAATGTCATTACCTAATTTGGCAGCATCACTCTTGCTAATATTTCAAAAGTAACATCTGTAGTGATGAGCAGTGTAGCGATGACAATCATAGAATAGTTGAGGTTGGAAGAGATCTCTGGAGGTCATCTGGTCCAAGTCCCCAGCTCCACACAGAGGCGCCTAGAGCAAGTTGCCCAGGACTAAGTCCAAAGGCAGTACTGCTGCCTTCCAAGTAAAATCATTTTAATGAAGCTCAAGCATAACTCCTTTCTCAAATATAACTCCTTTCTGAAGTGTTCAAACCTACTTTCATTTCAGTCAGATCATTCAGTTAAGAATTTTTTAAGTACATTATTTTCAGATTGGATAATAGGAAAAAATTCTGAGATGGTGGTTGGTTGGGTACAGGCACAAGCTCCTCATGGCAGTGTTGTCATCATCACCAAGCCTGTCAGAGTTCGAGGAACATTTGAATAGTGCTCTCAGAGATATCATTTGATTCGTAGGTAGTACTGTGTGTAGCTAGAAGTACAACTTGATTGTCCTTGTGATTCCCTTCCAACTCAGCATATGTTGTGGTTCCGTGATTATAACACAAATGCTTCAACTGAAGCATATTTTTGACTGAAGAAACTAGCAAAGACCAGGAGGTCTTCTGGACTGACAGTCCAAGACCCTTTATTTTCATCTGTTTCTTTTTTGCTGGAATACTGAAAGTAAATACCATTTCAGTTTGAAAATGATCATGTCAGTTTAGAAAGAACAGTTTTAAGAACTGAAAAAAATAAATCCAATTCAGTATTTCTGTCAGTCGTAGTGTTTGCTTTCTTGAATAAATGTTTTTTATTTCTATGCAGAAGTATTTTCATATTTTCTAATGCCCAAAATGTAATTTGAAAGCAGTCAAACTATTAGTCAATAGCTTGTGACCTATTAAAATTAAGCAATTAAATAATATCCTTTCCCATTTTCAGCTCTCTTCTTCCTAGTAATAACTGTCAGCTAGATACATTTGATGATTAATCAGTGCTTGTTCCTTTAAATGTCAGCCTTCATGTCTAAAATGTCAAGTTAAAACTTTGCCTTGTAATAATCTATTTGAAGAAGACTTTAAAGAAATTTAGAATATTAATCAGAGATATAAAAACATAAATACTTTAAATTATATACTTTAGAAGAAGATGCATCATCTTGAGAAAATAAAATTGTCATCTACATATGTGGAAACAATTGTTCTAATGAAGATAATGCCAAATTTTGAAAATTTCTTACATAAAATACTATGTATGATGCTTTTATTTGGGTGATGTATCTGCCATACTATTTTCCTTGTTTTCAAGAATGATAATATATCAAAAGAAAGAAAGAACTGTTTATACTGTAGCCAGGAAATATGGCTATAGAAATAGAGTATTTGAGTTTAGTATCATAGAATGTTTCATTGACCTTTGAATGATCCTAGAAGTGAGAGTTAAAACTATAATTATGATGATGTTATCTATTATCTCAAATTCTTCTTTACTTATTTCTCCAAAGTAGCATTGTTAGTTATACCACTGAGAACAGTTACAGCTTTTCTCAACTGAATTGCTAACCTACCATAATGCTTTGCTTAGTACCTTGTAATGCACTAAATAAAGCTGGATCCAACTGATACTTATAGAGACTCTGCTCTCACAGGATATTTTCTTCTTGTGCAGAGTGTTACTCACCTTAGATTATATCTTAATGAAGAAGGATAATAGAGCACTACTTTGCTAGGGAAAATATTACTTGTTTTTCATCTCTATACAGTTAACATAAAGGAGATTTTTTTAATAGCCAAGGATGAACAGACTGTATACAAGCAACTGAAGGGCTATGGAGATAAGGAGTGAGAAGTGAGATCAAGAATGATGTGGTAGAAATGAAAGAAGATGATCTATCTGGATATAGCAAATTTGAACCTGGTTTTATTATTTTTCTTGGTGATACAGAATGTGGTGTCTGTGAGACACTAATGATAAATTAAATACTGGTAAAAAAATGAAAAACAATATCAGATATAAGGAAAAAAAAAATCTATATTATGAGGACAATAAGGAAGTGCAGCAGGCTGGTGAGAAAGATTGTGTAGTCTGTTCCTGGAATTTTTTTAAGATAATCCTCAACAAATGTGTGATCAATCTGATCTGAACAGGGTTTGCTGACTCAGTTTTGAGCAAGGAGTTGGAAAAGATGACATTCTAGAGTCCCTTCTAACTGGAATGATTCTCTTTCCCCTTCTGATCTATGAACGTAACACTGTTACTTTTCTGTGTAGTATATACTTCTAAAAATCCATTAGAAGATACATTCCCTCACTGTTTATTTTGTGCTTCATGTAGACTATAATTTAGCAACATTTCATCAAAAACAAAAGTCAAAATAACTGCATGGAAAATATACTATTAAATTTACTTATAGAAACCTAGCTCACTGCTTTTGGATGTAAACATATTGAATCATATTCCTATTACGGGGTTACATAGTAGATTTTCAATGAGATGTTTGTCTCATTCAATTTGCAAAGATTTGGAGAAGTTTATTAACGGTTAAATATGACTGAATATATGTGCCAACACATTTTTTTTATGAAGGTACTTGAATGCAATGGAAGAGAGTAACATTCTATGCATAGTTCTGCAGCAGAGTTCTTTTATGATATTGTACAGACAGGTCCTCTAAGTGTTCCCATTTAACTAGAAATGGCATTGCAATGTAAATAACCTGTCAAGACACAATATAGCTTGAAAGCTGTACTTGCTCTGCACCAGTATCTGTAAACTGGAATGATCTGAAGAATGTGAACATTATCTGAACTTTTAAAAATTTGTTTTTTCACCAATTTACAGAGTAAGTAAAGATGAATATTGTGTCAGGACTTTTCAATTCTTAATAGTGTTAATAGTACAGTATGTTTGTTATCAGGAGATATTGTTAAACTCAGTTTGTGTAAGGCAGTTAGATATTTCCAAAGACTCAAGGTAAACAATATTGTCTTTATTTCAGCAGGGATAGAGTTAATTTCCTTCACAGGGGCTCGTATGTTGCTATATTTTGTATTTGTGATGAGAATAGTGTTGATAATGTACTGATGTTTTAATTGTTGACAAGAAGTGCTTTGAAAGATCCAAGTACTTCTCTGTTCCTTACACTGCCCTACCAGCAAGGAACTCAGGGTGCACAAGGACCTGGGAGGGAACACAGTCAGAACAGCTGACCTAAACTGGCCAAAGGGATTTTCCCACACTACATGATGTTGTACTCAGTAATAAAAGTTGGTAAAAGAAAGAAGAAAGAGGGAATGTTGAGTTAGGCCATTTGTCTTTCCAAGTAACCATTACATATGATAGAGCTTTGCTTTCCTGGAAATTTATGAACATCTGCCTGCAAGATGGGAAGTGGTGTTGCTTTGCTTTTGCTGATCTAATAAACTGTCTTTTATCTCAACCCACAAGTTTTCTTACCTTTGCCATTCTCTAATCCATCCCACTGAGGATGCTCTGCTGCCTACCAGGGCTAACCCACAAGTATTAATAATCCTGTATTATTCCAAGTCTTTGAAGACAAGCGCAGATTATTTTTGAGTCACAGAACAGCTGAATCAGGAAGGCATTTCTGGAGATCATCTAGTGCAACCCCACTGCTTAGAGCAGCATTAGCCTGAGCAGATTGCTTGGGACTGTGTCTAGCTGTGTTTTGAATACAGTCAAGGATGGAGACTCTAGAGCCTCCTGGGCTTGCTTTTGTGTTTGGCTACTCTTCACAGTAAAAAAGGGTTTTGCTCTTCTTAAATGTTATTTCAGTTTGCACCTATTGTTTCTTGTCCTGTCTTGGCACCACTGAGAAGAGCTTATCTACATATTTATTCACCTCTATCAGATACTTATACTCATGGTTAAGATCCTTCTGAGTCATCTCTACTCAGGGGCACCCTGCTGGTTCACGGCCAACTTCTTGTTCACTGAGGCCATCTTAGGCCCTCTCTACATAGCTGCTTTCCAGTTGATAAGCACCAAGCTCCTACTGTGATATGGAGTTACTCCTACTTATGTTCAGAATTGCCATGGAGACATTCAGTCTTTGTTTCATTCCTGAAATGTCCTGTTCCCTAAGAGACAGGGAGCCAGGAGAAAAGCACAATGACAGGGCCACCAGGGCAAGGGCCTTGTTGATAAGGGCTTATCCCATTGAACTAAAGCAATGGAGCAGGCAGCCCAGGGGCTGACAGCCATTCTTAGATGAGAGTTCAAGTTGTCAAACACAGAGAAATAGTTGTTCTGCGACTTAGAAAAGTTGATTGCTCTTATAGATGGTCATGTTAAACCTTTAGGTAAACTGAAGTAAATTAATATAAATGCACTTTTTTTAAGTAAAAAAAAAATATTTTGACATTCTTTATGCGAGGTGAATAATGTAATTTGTATTTTAACAGTACAGCCTCAAATAATACAACTTAAAAATGAAACCACATTTGAGAATGGGAAAGCCACCCTCATCTGTGAAGCAGAAGGAGAACCCATTCCAGAGATTACTTGGAAAAGGGCCATTGATGGAATAACTTTCTCTGAAGGTGACAAGGTAAATCAGCCTTTACAGTATCTAAGTATACATTGTTTTGCTACTCTTCATAAGCAGAAAGTGAACTTAGAGAAATTGAAATTAATTTTAGGTGAAATTGGAAGGAACTACTATTTCTTAAGATAATAAAAAAGATGTTTAAATTCCAAATTTTAAATTAGCATTTAAATTATAAAAACATAGAACAAAAACACAGAAAAAAAAAAAAAACCAAATAAAATTTTAGAAAGGTAATACTTAGCTTTTCCTGACTACATTTGGAATTGGTCCAGTATTTCTCAAACCGCTGTGGAGCTTACAGAAGTCTGAAATAAAAAATAATAATAATAAAAAAATCATTTCCGGATACTTTGGAAATCTCTCCTTTTCACCTTAGGTTTTTTTTTTTTTTTTTTTTCACTTTTCTCTTATATTTTTCCTGCCAAAGAGTAAGGTTGTCTTTTACTACAAATTGAGCCCATTTTCCTATTATGTTTCCATTTTCATGCTTTATTACAAAAATAAGTTGAGTAGAAAAAGATTGTAATGAAGAAAGTCAGTTGCTATGGGAACAAAAGCTGTGAGTAGATGAAATGGTAAGCAAAATGGAAAGGTGTAACGTTATTCCCAATGAAGTAGATCTGTTTCTCATGAGTGTTTTAAAAATAATTTTCTTTGAATATTTGAACAAAAGTTTGCTTCTTAATTTCCTTAGATAAAATACAGATCTTGTCTTCACTACTTGAATTGTGAGATAGCATCTGTATGGCTTGCTAATTCTGAATTTAGGCAAAATAATTACACAGACAGTCTGCTTGCAGATGTTTGCAAATTAATAGCTGTCACTTAAAAAAAAAAAAGAAGTGATCAGATCAATCACAGAATTAGATACAAAGTAAGTTGCTGAGTTTATAGGGAGTTATTGTGCAAGGATTGCTCCAAAAGTAATGCCTCCTATTTTATTCTGTTGGTCCATAATGTCAGAGGTGAATGTTGATAGTGTGGCAGTTGAGGTTGAACCTTCCCACCAATATTCCATTACATTTTAATGGCCAGCAGAGCAGCAGTCCGACAGTCAAATGGTGTCTGACATGGAAGTGTATATGGAGCAAAGGTATGGAATTGAATTCCTCCTGCTGGAAAACATTGCACTCAACAACATGCATTGATGCTTGCTGAACGTTTATGGAGACCAGACAGTGGATGTGAACACTGTGAGACAGTGGGTGGTGTGGTTCAGCTGTGGTGGCAGCATTGTGAAAGACAAGCCACATTCCAGATGGTCATGCACAGCTGTCGTGCTGTGAAATGAAGAGCATCTTGATCAGCTCACCAACACATATCAGCAGATTATGACTATGGAACTATGTATGGAGCTGAGTATCAGCTTCAGTGCGTTGGAAACAATGGTGGCAATGCTGGATTGTTGCAAAGTTTGCATCAGGTAGGTCCCATGAATGCTCACAAAGGAAAAGCAGAAAAACTGTATTCAAGTTTGAACCAATATGAAGCTGAAGATGATGGTTTCCTGGATTGCATCATTACCAGTGATGAGACATGGTGTCACCACTACAAGCCAGAGTCAAAATGACAGTGTGTGCTGTGGCAGCATATGAATTACTCATTGAAGAAAATGTTTGAGTTGCAGCCCTCAGTAGCGATATTTCTTTTGGGATTGGAAGGGCGTGATCATCTGTATTTCCTAGAATTCGAACAAACTATCATCTCTGATTGCTACATTGTGACACTGACTAAGCTGAAGGCATGAACTTCCACAGTCAGGACAGAGAAGAATACCACCTTTCTCTTTCAACACCATTAACGCCAGGCCCAATACCAGCTGGAAGACCATGGAGCACGTTGTCAGTCTTGTGTGCAGTGTCCTACCACACCCACTGTGTAGTCCAGATTTGGCATCATCTGACTTCCATCTGTTTGGGTTAATGAAAGATGGACTGCGTGGGCAACATTTTTCCTAGCAACAGCACTATCATAGCTCCTCTGAAACAGTGGGGCGCCTCCACCAGTGCAGATTTTTCTGAATGCTGCATGCAGGTTGTTGTTCATTGCTAGTGGAAATAAATAGCTAACAGTGCTGACTTTGTTGATAAATACTGTTCTGTGGCTGAGAATTTGCTCTATCAAACAGTATTATTGTGCTCTTTGTTGTATTTTCCATAGAAATAGATAGGAGGCATTACTTGTAAAGCAACCTACATGTATTAAGGAATTACTTAGATTTATTGTTTATGTTCTAATGGAGAATGTTTTTTCTTGTCAGTTCTCCTACATTGTGGCAGTTCATATGAGTTTGTGCCTACCATTTTCCTGTTCTGTGATTTCCATTAAAGAGAAACATCTTTTTTTTTCATTTTTCTTTTTTCTTTTTCCAAGTAGTTTTGCATTAATCAAAACAGTCTCTCTCCTCCTTAGCTATTTCAAGTTGAAGATGATCTTTCTAATGTATCAAGTCTGCACTTGGTTCAAATGTTAAAAATGTGTTTTTTTTACTTATGTTTGGAATATTCCTAAAATAGTTATATCAGAAAATGAAAGCAAATTGCAGAAACAAGCTAAACACATTGATGCATTTGAAATGTGTTATTTATCCAATACTCATATAGTATGGTATTACATTCTTAATCCAAAGTTCAGGTGATTAAACTCTTTAGACTTGTCAGTGTTATATAGGTATCATTTTTTGTGTGTGAAAGATAAAAAGACCAAGAGTAGTTAGATGGTTTCATTTTATTCTTGCCAGTGAAGGAGCTTTCAACATATTGCTCATGGGAGGGTTTTTGCTGAATGTTGAATAACTGTTCTGAAATACTTTATGTTTTGAGCTATAAAAAACACTTTTTAATTTTCTGTGTGGTTCTGCAACACTCTAAGGAGCAAAGACTTACTTAACTAGACCTTTCCTACCAAGTTTTGTGAATAGGTTAATAGGAAACCAAACTGGTGGTGAATAAATTGTTGAATGTTTCTTGAGTAATACAGCCATGTCCTGAAACAAGAAAGAGAAGCAAAAGGTGAGTTGAAGAAAATAGAGGTTTTTATAGACAATCATAAACTCAAGTTATTTATGTTATAACTTGAAGTAGTTTCCAGTCACCAGACTTATTTGCATAAGTATAAAAAATGTTTTCTACATTCAGTGAATTCATCTTTTGAATTTTTTAGTAGTGAAAAAAAAATTGGTGCAGACTGTTGTTTATGAATATTTTTTGTTGAACTGAGTATTGAGGGGATGGCAGTGATTCTTTTTTTTTTCTGTAGAAGATGTAAGATATGCTGTCACAAGAACAATTACCATGACAGTGATTAAAAATCAGAAAGTGTTAATATTTTAAATTATTGTTTTATTATTTTTAGGATGAAGCTGCTCAGTCTTACTCTTGTTTTGCTAAAATGCAGGTATAGCTTGTATGGTTAGTTACAGGATGGCTGTCTGAAATGTTTAACAGTTCCATACATTTGGAATGTTGCCTGAAGGATTTCTTTGCCAGAAAAAAAAATGCAATGGCATTTTAATTTCTCGAAACCAAAATTAATTTGATCAAAGAACATATGGAAAGCTTATTATGTAAGGTCCAAATGATGTAATAACTCCTTCTTTCCTTTCTCTTCCTCTCTAAATATAGTGGATTGAATAAATACTGCAAAATTTGAGGCATCCTTTGGTTTATGGGATTCTGATTTAACAAAGATTAAATATGAGTGAGAGATATCAATGTCTTTGTGATTTGTGACCATTATTTTTTCCTGTATGAAAGCTTTTTTTTTTTTTTTTTATTACTGGCTAATACGATTGCCTTCCCTTATAGGTATATTAGATCAACATTACCAAAATTCCAAGCTTTTCCCAATTGGAAAGAAACAGTAGTTTCCTTGAAATTAGCAGATTTTGTGAGATTGCTCAGATGCAGGCTGCTGTATCTCTCATTCAAAGTATTTTCTGTCATCTTTAAACCATAATAGAGTTTTTCTTCAGACATGACATTTCATATGGTTATTGCTGGCTGCTCTGAACTTGTGGTCCTAAACCTCGAATGTAATCACTTAGGCTGGTTACCACAATTTTTATAATGATATCTGGATTGTTTGATTTTTATTTCCCGTACTGCTACTGGTGGACCCTTTATACTTCTCAGAACTGCAAAAGACATTGAGCGCTTTCTACAGCTTTTTGTCATTCACTTTGCAGACTTTGACACCTTTGTGTTGTCTAGTTAAAGTTTAAATGCACTTATGTAGGTGACACACATAATATATAAAGGAATGGGAGATGGCCAATAAATGTTTCAGACTCGTGCTGTTGATTCCTAGTAAATCCTAGAACACTTTTGAGTTCCAAAAAGCTTGGAAAGAAAAACGAGTGTGGCAGTAGCTAAAACAATAACTGAAGTCTACATGAGTAGTACCTCAGCAAAATACTAGGAAAGCTGAGGTAGATGCAATACATATTTTTTTCAGTAATGTAATCATTGATAGTTACCATGAATTCACTGCAGATTCATCTTGTCAAATTGACTCTGCATAAATTAAAAATCTAAGTTGTTTTACTACCAAAATTAACTGAATGAGTGTGCTAAATGCTAAACATTTTTGAGGCAACAGAGTTAGTGACAAAGACAGTAGGTTGGAAGCCCAGCTAAAAATACGGGTGCATATTTTCTCTGTACTGTTTTAAGGCACGAAGGATGTATTGTTCTTTCTTCATGCTTGCCATCTTGTAAGTTTCATATAGAAAAGCTTTGGGACACATGCTTGATAGTAGCAATCACTTAAGACTACATATTTAAATTCTTGATATAGGGAAAAAATATTAACAAGATACCAAATTTGATGGATACACTATTGTAGTACATATATATGAAAGAAAGAAGGAAAGAAAGAAATTGATCCAGAGAAATGCAAATTTCTAACAGTGAGATTTTGAATACAGGTTATATACAGGAACAGATTTAAGCAACTTGGATATTCCTATGCTTACACACTATGAAAGAGGAATTCAAAAA